CCCAACACCCACACACCCAAATTTTTTTTTTAAAAAAAAAAAAAAAAAAATCTTCATTTGCATTCAGGTGTTAATATTTTTACTGACCAATCGATATTGGTTTGGAACCTTTGGGTTGACAATCTGTGATGGCTATCTTGATCAAATGGGAGAAATACAGTACTAAATATCTGCAAAGTGGAATTGATTTCACTCCAAAAGAGCAGTACTACTATCAGTCCCCTTTGACGGGGGTTGTGGCAAAGTGAATGTAGTGGGAAAACTCAGTTTGTGGGTGTTCAAATTCACCATAAGCATATTATTTCTAAAGAAGATTCTTTATAGTATAAATTTTGTATGTGACTTTGGTTTGTGCTTTCATGTCAGACCAATTTTTACCTGTTAGGTTTCATCCCTAAAGCTCCAGGGTTTATCCATCCAAAGGTGGAGTTAAAGGACTAAGTTTTGCTATATTTTTCTTGCATTTGCCACGTAAATGTCATCACGTTCAAGGGGGTAAAAGGAATCTGTTATCCTCTCTTACTGAATAAAAAATATTAATTTATGTGGTTTATTATTGTTGGATAATGCTAATATGTATTTTTTATTATGTCAATGTCATTTTAAAGGATAATGTAAAATGTATATGCTGCAAAATGAACAAGTAATTTGTTGTCCAGTGGCTGGTGTACTTATGACAGTTCCGAAAACATATTGCACCCACAGACACGCGTGTTTTACTCCCCTTTTACCTGCTTTTACATTTTGGGAATTTGCATTTCATGATGCACTCTAATTCTTATAATTATTTATTTTATAAATCATCTATTACCTAAAGCAATTATATTTGGATCAGCATGAATTTTCTGTTCTAGATTTTCATCTCTATTGGCTTACAATTCATTTCCTTGATTCCTCTTTTCCAGATTCAAGAACAGTGATGGCAGTTTTGGGTAAGTTTCTCGTTTCTAATGCCAGCCTAAACGTGATATCGAACATTTGTTCTGAACATCGACAACAAATGTAAACTACCTCTGAATTATAGGCAATTTCAGCTCTTTTCAGACCCACAAGTCCTTCTCTTCTACCACCTCCGTAGCATGCAAGTCTCCAAATCATTAATTGTTTATTCCATTCTTATGCAGGACCCGCAGATATGGTCGACAATGTGACCGGTGGATTGAAGCTTTTATAGTGGAAGTTCTGCTATTGTTTGGCCTTAAATGGCGGAAGAGCTCCTAAGTTTACAGCTGCATTGAGGAGCTTCTATTGGACGTTGTTTTTATTGTTGCCGATGATGAAAATTTTCAACGATCGATCAATTCTTAACAAAGCGTTGATATTGTTTACTCAATGAATTAAGATTTCATACATTTTATTATCTGACCTTTTTTGCCTTAAGTCTTTGGTTTAACATATAATAGTTTAAAATTGTTTTTTGGAACAACAAGAGTAGCTTTCACTTGGATTGTGTTTCCAGGTTGAATGAATCAAAATTTTGTCTTTGGTAATAGCTCGAGCAGGTAAAATGGTTGTATACGGCCAAGGAACTTTATTTTCATTTTGCATTTTTGCACTGGAACTCTGAAAAATGCTAATAGTGCATGCTTAGCAAAGTGATCAATGGTGAAACATTAATTAACTTTACTGAATAAATGAGTAAAATAAATTTTTAAGGTGCCTAAATGAGTCAAAATAATAGTTTAAGGGTCATTTAAATTGTAAACAAATTTCAGTTGTGAAATTAACTCATTTGGGGCAGGGAATTGGTTGCCCAAAATTCTAATTTTCGGCTAAATAAAAAAAAGAAATATTTGGAACAAAATACTCCGACCTGCCGGATTCGAACCAGCGACCTAAGGATAAGCTGCCATGAACCAACTACAGTCCTCCGCTCTACCAACTGAGCTAAGGTCCGACACTGTAGATGCTTTTAATTTATTTAATATAACTCTTACATAGGTGCTAAGATTTTTGCCCTATCATTGTTTAATCAAAGATCAACCAGGCTCATATTTTAAAATGATAGATTTCATGCGCGGTCACTGAAGTTCCAATGAAATATCAATTGGGTCACTAAATGTTAATTTGTCTTAATTTAATCTTTAAACTTTATTATAGCTTCAAATTTCACCATTCTATCACATTTTGTCACTTATTTTCCTCTCAAAATCAGCATAAATCACTTTATTTTCCTTGAAAAATATCATTTTTCACCTAAATTCAAATTTTGGGGTGATTGACAATTTTTTTCGCGGAAATTATTTTTGAACTTTTGGTCACATGATCTCATTTTTCTCAAAAATAAAAAAACATTTCTTTGGGAATGGGTGATTTTTATTTTTCAGGTAATTCATTCTTTCTCCTATCTATCAATTCTTTCTCATCTACCTATCAATAAAAAATAGACAAGTAAAATATTTTTAGGTTGAAAACTAAATCAATCAAACACATTTAATTAATAATTTCTATAAAAATAAGTTATAGGCAATTGAATTGCTTAAAATTTATTTTTTTAATACAAATTTTATGCTCCCAATTAAACGTACCTTGGTTGAAGGTAATATCATAATCATTTTCCATGTAATTGGTACACTTTAAAAATAAAAATGATAAAATAAATATCATGACAAATTTTAATATGCGTGTTCTTTGTTATTTTATCACTTTAGTACATGACGTGGTGTTGAATCGTCATGCCATGTTGCGATTATGTTCCCATTGTATATATAGTGCTCATTAGTGTGGTTTGCTCGGGTTAGCGCACAAAGGCATAGAGCTCATGCCAAAGGTAACCGGTTAGTTGACTTTCTTTTCGAGGCATGTTTGGACATATGATTCCCGGACTCCACTTACACTCATGGGGAAGGGGCAGAAAAGTTGGAGTACATTAGAATACTTTCTTGGGACTTAAACTTTACTGGCATAAAGATTGAGTCTAAAACTAAGGCGTGCGTACCAATTACAACAAACCAAAAACCAAAAAGATCAAAAACAAAAAAGGTCTGGAATTTGGAATTGTCGTGCAAAGGCAAGCATGACATCATTATGAACATAAAGTTCCAAGGTATGGAATCCCAGAAAGAGGTTAGTCCAACTTAAATGAGATATGACCCGGCTAAAAAACACAATTTCAACTCATCAAGATTCAATCTATTTAGGGAGTGCTCGAGAAAGTGCCGCCTTTCAGGTATTACTTTAAGGAATGTGCTTTTTCCAATTCTATATCTATATGGAATCTCCATCAAGGCTCAATTTTGAGTTGGTCAGTGTATATTGTTGGAAAAAAAAATTGAGTTATGGGCTGACTTTGGCACTAGTTTTGAGTGGAACCCGGTTGTTCAATTTGGAAGATGAAAGTTGATTTGTGTTCTCCTCCGTGAGTACATCGAAATCATATACTTACTTGCCAAAGATAATGTTCGGGTGAATGAGAAATTGAGGCTCAAAGTGTGCCACTCAAAAGGGAGTTTATGTGGGAAAAATGAATTTGTCCCACATAGAAAAAAGATGAGAAACTCCAAAGGTCATTGGCATTAATGGTAGCCTAGCTTATAAATAGTGACTCATTTTCCTCATTTCAATACACAAAAGCAAAAGTTCAAATTTAGAATACACAAGAAATTCATTTGCATAGAGTTCTGTCTTTTCTGCATCTCTGTCTTGGTGGTGGTGTAGTTCAGGCATTAGTTCAGTTCGCCAGAGTGGTTTCTGCGGTGCTTGGAAACTACTGATTTTACCGTTGTATCCTGAAAAACGGACGCTCGTTTTAAACCTCAAGCACGGATGGTGAGGGGGCAAATCTGTTTTAAGGAAATTGAGTGTAACACAGGCCTCGGTTTGAAATTTCATTTCCTGCAATTTCAATTATTCGTCCTATTATTTATCGCAGTAAATTCAATAGTTGATTTGTTGTTCATTCTGTTATTATCCAATTAGTTGTACGACTGTAACTTGCTGTTATATATCATCTTACCGGACAAAAAACATATACGGTATTGAAATCGAGAATACCGAATTCCTCATTTTTCATAAACCGAACGAACTAGTGAAACTTGGGATTTTCCCTACAAGTTTAAAATAGATTTTCAGAAAGAAAAAATTGGTTTCCTATATTGATTATTTCTGAACTGATTAGTTTTTTTTATTTGTTATATTGTGGAAACTAATTTATTGCTTGGTTCTTTCAGAAGACGAAATGACAACCGGTTCCACAAACATGGATTCCAACATGGATGTGTCCCAAGCTGTAGGTACCCAAACTCAGGCTGTGGGTTCTACTATGGGTGCAAGGCCTAGTTCAGCTATAGGTGCAGCTATGGTTGCAGGGCCTAGCTCTGTTATGGCTCAGACTGTGGCTCAAGTGCCAAGTCGTGTTGTGAGCCAACATGTGGCTAATGTTCCAGTTAATGTACCGATTAACCATGGGGAAAAGTAGGAGAAATTCAATGGCTTAAATTTCAAGAGGTGGCGGTAGAAAATGCTGTTCTATCTAACCACCTTGAATCTTGCGAGATTCTTGACTGAAAGTGCTCCAAAACTCTAAGAGGGTGAGGTGGATGTTCAAGCAATCAGTGTTGTTGATGCTTGGAACCACTCGGACTTCTTATGCCGGAATTAACAGCTTGGCAGATTCGCTATACAACGTGTATAGCACCATGAAAATTGCTAAGGAGTTGTGGGAGTCTTTAGACCGAAAATATAAGACTGGGGATGCCGGGGCTAAGAAATTTATCGTTGGCCGATTCTTGGACTATAAGATGGTGGACTCCAAAACTATAATCAGTTAAGTGCAAGAACTCCAAGTGATTCTTCACGAAATTCATGTCGAAGGGATGATTCTGAGTGAAACTTTCCAAGTGGCTGCAATCATTGAAAAATTGCCTCCTGCGTGGAAAGATTTCAAAAATTATCTGAAACACAAACGAAAGGAAATGAACGTTGAAGAACTGATTGTTAGACTTCGAATTGAAGAAGACAATAAGAGTTTCGAAAAGAATTGGTTCAATCCTGGTGCGGCTGAGGCTAATATTGTTGAACATGGTCAAGGTAGTAAGAACTACAAAACCAAAG